GGTGGTAATACGTGTGACTTGTACCTCTGGTACTAGCTGAAGGTGGTGGCCATCGATGAGAACCTGAACGTCGTTCACCAGAATAATGTGCAGTTTGACTCCGAGCTTCCTGAGTTCAGGTAACAAACATCTCCTCTGTGTACTACTAGTACTACTACTACTAGTACTGCTATCAGTAGTAGTAGGACTAGTAGTAGTAGTATTTATTCATATTTCGGACACATTCAGAAGCTTGTGAAAGCATCACTGTGCATCTAAGTGATTTAATTTAGTAAAGTCTTTTATTTTGAAACTCCAGGACTCAGGGAGGATTTCATATTCATGCTGACAGACTGACGGTCACCTCACCTGTACTGATGTGGGTAAAGGTGAGTTACACACACACACACACACACTGTGACCAATGACTGTGACTGTTTTGGTTGGTCCCCGTGCTGCTCCGTGATTGGTTGTCACGTGTCTCTGTCTGCGCCCGCCTGACATCAGGCTCTGGACCTGGTATTGGACAAGATGAAGGGGGCGGGGCTGGCCTACGCCCGTGTCAGAGCGTTGTCGGGCTGCGGCCAGGTGAGAGATCACACCAAACCTACTGCACAAAGGCGTCCTCAAAACATATAACATACTGCATATCATTACTTCACCTGTTCATCGACTGAGCCTCTTCACTAAAGGAAAGTGGGCGGAGTCCGGTTTTTATAACAGAACCTCTTTAAATGTCTCTCAGCAACACGGCAGCGTGTTCTGGAGAAGAGGGGCGTCTGAGACCCTGAAGGACCTGGACCCGGACCAGGACCTGCACCAGCTGCTGCAGGTGTGTGGGTCCACAGGTACGTGTGTGTGTGTGTGTGTGTGGTATTATGGGATGTGAGCTGATGCTGACTCTCTAACAGGACAGCTTCTCCGTGTCTCACTCTCCTGTGTGGATGGACTCCAGCAGCAGACAGCAGTGTGAGGAGCTGCAGACAGCAGCAGGAGGAGCAGGGAGACTGGCAGAGATCACAGGGTCCAGAGCATATGAGGTCTGTCTGATTACCTGTCTGTCTGTCTGTCTGTCTGTCATATCTAATGGGTGTCTGTCTGCAGCGTTTCACAGGAAACCAGATCTCCAAACTGAGACAGACTCGACCGGAAGAGTTCAAGAACACAGAGGTCAGTGAGCAGACGGTTACTGTGTTAATAAATGATTCCACACAACTGATGTGTGTGTGTGTGTGTGGGTGTGTGTGTGTGTGTGTGTTTTCAGAGGATCTCATTGGTCAGCAGCTTCGCAGCCTCTCTCTTCCTCGGTGGTTACGCCTCCATCGACTACAGTGACGGTACAGAATCAGTGCTCGTTGATCATTTATCAATTCGTGTCTTTATTGATCCGTCCTCCATCTGTCCTAATCGTTACTTTAAACGTGCACAACGATGAGTCAGCAGAGTAAATGTATGAAAATCACAAAAGTGAAAACTAAACTATTGATGATGTCAGAGAGACATTAAACGACAACAAAGAGACATTAAAAGACTACAAAGACATTAAACGAATACGAAGAGACACTCAACGATTACGAAGAGACTCTAAACGACTACGAAGAGACACTAAACGATTACTAAGAGACACTAAACGACTACGAAGAGACACTAAACGATTACGAAGAG